TCTATTTTAGGGTCATATATTTTGGCATTACAATTATACCTGAAAACTCCTTTTGTAGGAGTACCTAGATTACTGTTTGATAGGTTATGTGGAAGAAGATGTGGTACCAGGGCCAAGAATGCAGGGGTGGGGGCATCCTATAACTATTTCTACTATAGTCATGACCAAGAGCTTCTATAATTGTACAATCAGTTCCTAATAAAATTGGGACTCTGTAACTCCCATAGCATGAATTCTACAATCTATCTTCTTCCTTACATGTTTTCCAATTGATTAAATGATCCCATTGGATGATGAATTGTTAAGCTCCCAAGGATCCCATGTGTGCTGAAGGTAGGTCCAGTGAGAGACTTAGAAGCACATGAAGAAAGATAAGAGAAGACACTAGTTGCCAACACATAAAACTGGGGAGTGATAGAGCCACACTTGAATGGCAGCAGCAAATTTTGCATCAAAACAGAGAAGGAATGAAGCCTTCCTCATAGGAAGTACAATTTTGCTCCACAGGATTTTATGGTTCTTCACATGTCTCTCAAGGACACCTGGCAAACCATGTAATATTTTTTGAGGTTACATTCCAGTTTGAAAAAAAAATGACAAACTCTTTGAAAAACAGGGCAATTTCTTATCTTATAGGTCTCTGATGAGACAACTTGAAACAGAAATGTCAGTCATTTCTCTTTCAACAAAGTTGTGTCAATTCCATAATAGAAACATTGTGTTTTTGCATAAAGCCACCTCTATTCCTTCAGAGCACAAAGAATTTGTAAATAAATGTAGGCAGCACATGGTGTTCAGATTCTAATTTTACTCACCTGCAAACTGTTCCCTTCCATCATAACTTTACTTAAATCATAGTTATGCTCTTAATTAACAATTTAATTGGTTGGTGCTTTCTTAATCCAATTCTCTGGGGTCATGATTTTCTGTTTAACTTTCTTGTTTCATTTCTTCAGCAAAACCATAAAATTTAATTAGGAAAGTAACCAGCTTTGTAACAGCAGTTGCATATCTAATTAGCTTCCCCTTAACCATAGTGTCTCAGATTCCACTCAATATTGTACACATATTTTGAATTTGTTCATGTTTCAGAGAAGACCTTGTGAATTTATAGCCTAAACAAGAAGTCCAATCACATTTCATTTTTCTTAAGATGTTTTGTTCTAAAAAAGGGAAATTAATTTAAAGCCTTCATATAGAAAACTGAGAGCCAAAGGCCAAGATGTATGTTGTTATCTTACTGTATATCTGTTTTCTATTTCTGTGGGATAAATGACCACAAGTACAGTAGCTGAAAACAATACCCATGATCATCTCACAGTTTTGTATATCAGATTGCTTAGGCATAGTTGGCTAGATTCTCTCTTCAGTGTTGGAATGGGATAAAATTCATGTCTTGAGCTGCATTCTCATCTGGGCCCCAGAGGTCTCTTCCAAGGTTATGTACTTATGGCAGAATCCATATTCTTGTGGTTGTAGTACTGTTGTCTCCATTTGCTTGCAGTCTAATCCATAGGGATCATTCCTGCCTCTTAGAATCAATGCTCATTCTTTGGCAATTACCTGCCATGGACAGTTTGTAGCACAGCACTTTTTGAATGACTCTGAGACCAGCAGGAACACTTCTTCTTCTGTGAACAGCTACAGAAAACTCTACTTTTAAAGTGCTCACCTGATTAGATCAGGTGCATCCCAGGTATCTCCTTTCTGCCATATCATATAGGAAAGGACCATGTCATCATAATCACAGGAAAGCAATTGTGCAGGGCAGGTACACCAGGGAACAGAGATCCTGGGGCTGTCTTACAATTCTACCACATAGTGCTTGAGAAGAAGGTGGCAACCAATGTGTTCTTGGCAAATCTCCCTCCTTTCCCCTTGGAGGGACTGTACAACGTATGCAAGGAAACTGTTAGCAATGGCCCTGATTCTGTCCTATCAGCTCCACAGGGTAGATGACAGACAGTCACATTCTTTCTTCTCTGCAGGTTGCTTTTTCTGCCTGGTCAGAATTGCTGCTTTCCACAGTGCAAATGGATCACTTGGTGATATCACTCAAATTTAAAATGACATCAAGGTAATAGGACGCTTTTAGATAGAAATTTATCTAAGCTTAACACTTCAAACTTTAGTCCAATAAAACTACTTCTTTAGTAAAAGTAAGGGAAGAAATGTGCAGGAATGATTTAACAGAGCGAGGCTGAAAATGCTCTCTTTAGAAAGGCCTGTTTGCAAATTTTTTCATGTTGGTATCTGAGAACTCTTGGAAATCGTGCCTGAGTTCTCCTGAACTTCACTCCATGCTCATTTTCCCTTTGCTGATTCTGTTTTGTATGCTTTTGTTATAGTAAACCATAGCTGTGAATAGATTCTATGCTGAGGCATGTGAAGCCTCCATAAAATCCTGACCGAGTGGGTAGTAATGGCAACTCTGACCCTTGGAATACAGTAATATATGTGTATAACACTCATATCCTGAGTCTGGACTCCACTACCCTGATGACTTAGCCTAACCCTCTGCACTGTGAGGATGATAGGGCAAACGGACAAAGGGCAGCAGGCAGGCTTTGCTCAGGTTCTAGAGGACTTGGCATGGCCCAGATGCTTACTCCAATTCCACACTGTGATAGATCAAGTTATTTAACCTCTGTTTATCTGACTCAGTTTCTTTATCTGTAAGATAGCAGTAACAACAGTACCCACTTCATAGAATCACTTCAATGAGGTAATTTACAGAAAGGAGGTTTTACTGTGATGGCTCATAGGGACTGAGAAGGGCTACGTATAATTTTCTGTGGAGTGGAGTTGCTGGAGCACCTGTGAATACTCTAAATGTAACTCTGTTTGTTCCCTTAACTCTACTCCCTTTTTTCCTTACCCAGTTTCCTCCTCTTCTTTTCTCAGTTGTCCATTAGACTCCTTACATCCAAACCATTTCCTCTCCATTTGACTACATTTTCTTAAGGACAAAAATGAAAATAACATGCTGGAATGATTTTTTAAAAATATTTACCAAAATAGCCCCAAATAAATGTGTGGTCATCAATGCCATTTCTGAGATTTATAAGTAGCCCCTCTATTATGGCCTGTATCTAAATGTCCTACTAAAGCCTCATGTATTCAAAGGTGGGGTTTCTTTAAAGATAGCTGGATCTAGGGTGTGTAAATGTGGATCAAAAGTGTGATAATTACATCAGCCCACTGATTGGTTTAGCACAAGTCAGGATCTGGATAATGGGAAGCCCCACCCCGTGTGTGTGTGGCACCAACCAATAGGCTTGTACCCTCGATGCAATATAAAGAGAAAGGAGGAAGGCAGGCTCACTGCTTCCTGCCTGCCACTCTATGAACTGTTTCTCTCTGTGATAGCCCTCTACCATGCCACCCTGCCTGGGAGCCAGCCAACTGAAACCTCTATACATTGTGAGCTAAAATAAACCTTTCCTCCCCTAACTTTGGGCGCTGGGTATATCGTCTTAGCAATGAGAAAAGTAACTAAGACACTCTCCAATAATCCTCATTGTGCAATTCTTACTGCTTTTGAAGCGATCATAACATGTATAATTGTGCAATTTCATTTCCATAACTTTGTAAGTCTTATTATGTAAATAGATTCACAAGCTGGATAAAAATTCTTGGTTCTAGTATTTGGATAATTTTATCTGTCCTCTAAAATATGACACGAGTGAAATACTTCTTTTATTTTTTCAGTAGTATATTTAAATGGGATTTCAACAGAGATGGAAACTTCTACTCAAAATTTGCTTCATTTTGTTGTAACTTCTAAGTCCCTGTTAGACTGTGTGGAGAGTTCAGCTATTGCTATTGAAAAGACATCATGATCATGGGGTTTGATAGTCAAACATGACTCGAAGATGGTTAATGTCAGAATCATAGAAGCAGAAATTCTTCAAGGAGGAGAGGAAGTCTAGGAAATGCCCAGTAAGCACAGCCTCTCAGGTATTTGGTAAATAACCACAATTTGGGGAGGTAATGATGTGCCAATGCTTGTGGGGGAGCTGGGAAGGAGGAAGATGAAAAGGAATCATTATATGCAAAGTTCAGAATGTCATTGACAAATAAATGTAATATTCAAAGGGAAGATGCCAAAAAGAAAAATCAAAGCCTGAATAAAGACCAAAAATATGATGATTATAAATATCTGTAGAAACCACCAAGCTTATCTTGTCCTCCATTATTCCCTAACTCCTTCTCCAAATAGGATTGCACTTTTGTCATCTAGGAAAACTATTTCTCTGTTTCATATTAAAGATTAATCATGGTCCTTTGGTAATCTGTTGTGCCATCCATTAAAATGAAGCCTGAACCAAAACACATTTTAAGGGCCTGCTTCTATTTTTGTAGCTATGGAAGAGAGCCAATTGATATACTTCTCATCATAGCTTTTGAGTCAAACCTACACTTGGTTTACACACAGTAATGGAGAAATGAGAAAGTCTAACTTTAAAATCCATAAAATCCATCAGAGATTGAATAATCAGAGCTTTCAACCTTTGCCATCAAAATTTTCTTATCAGACCAATGGAAATGTAGCAACATTAAATCTTCAATTTCTAATTTTTATTTTCCTGAACTTATTTTTACTTAAAGGTTTGATTAGAAGGGGAGTAACAAGGGTGTCTATATGAAGATTGCAAGAAGAAAAACTGTGAACTACATTCATTCATTCATTAAAGATAAAACAAATAAAACATTGAGTTTAAAGATATTTCAGATATATGCTAGGAATATAACAATGAACAAAAATGTACAAACTCTGTCAAGAAGCCTACATTCTAGCTGGGAGACAGATAAATGAACTAGTAAATAAATCATGCATCAGATAATTTTTGAGTAGCTGAAACTTTTCTTTAAATTTTCTCTCAATCTCTTAGCTTTTACTTCTCCTGGCTAAGTAAAATTATTCAACTTCAGTCACCAAAGCCTTGTAAACAAATCAGAAGCATAATTTTATTGTACAAGTGAGTGGACGCTGTTACCTTGAGTTGGTGGTATATTTTCTTCAGTGCATATGCTTCCTCTTCCGTTTTGGGAATAAGTCTTATCACCTTATCACTATAAAAAAGGACAAAAGGTAGTATTTACCTTTCAAAAATAAATACATTAACCATCATTTTATTTTTCATCTCTCAAGAAAAAGTCTTTTCATTTAAGAAATATAGCAAAACTTCATGGCTGGTTCTTGTTATTCTCTGGTTATATTGGGTCTGTTTTCCCTGTCTTAAAACTACTTAGCATTTTATCAGCTTTTGAAGATTATAAACACATGTAATGTAATAAATGCAGAAAGAGGCTCAAAACACAACAACAGTGGCAACATGGGACAGAAGCTTTCCTGAATAGCTCACAGAAGATACTGAGAAAGAAAGTTTCTAATGATAGAAGAAAGAAAATCATTTTTTTATAAAAAAGCTAGATAGAAAGTCTAGCACTGAGCTATATCCCCAGATTTCATTCTTTTTAAAAATATCTATCGATGAAAAGGAAAATAGCTTTCAGAGAGAAGACCTGCAAAATCCATACACTATGGAAAACATCTTGTTTGGATTCTTTCCACATGGAGAAAAGTAAAGTGAAAGCCTGTCATTGGGGCACTTCATTTCTGATTCAGAGTTTCTAAACTGGCATGAGGTGGGCTGAGAGGTGGGGTGGCAAGCAGAAGAGTCACCATAAATTTACAGATGTGCCATGAGATGTTGATAGTTATAAAATGTTTAGAATGATAGAAGTTTAAAATCAGCATTTGCAACCAATAACATTTTACCATAGTTGGAATTAACAATTTACTATTCTATAAAGGTTTTTTTCTGTAAAGATCCTAAACTGCTGAAGATGACTTGAAATCTTTGTCTGTTTGCCAGAGTTCTCTGTGGGTTGACACTTCTTTCAGATTGCCAGACAAGTCTTACCCATTTCCAGTGCATGAAGACACAAATTAGGGAGCACTGTACTAGCACATAACAAAATAATTATAATTTTTATGTGTTTTACACAGAGGATATTCTTATTATATATTTATTAATGGAAGCTAGTCACAGTGGTACATGCCTGTAAGACTAGCTACTTGAGAGAATCACAAGTTTGAGATCAACCTGCTAGACAACTTAATGAGATGCTATGTCAAAAAAAACCAAAAAAGATTGGGAGTATAGCTCAGCAGTATAGCACTTGCCTAATAGGTGTAAGACCCTAGGTTCAATCCCTAGCACTAAAAAACAAAACACACACACACACACACACACACACACACACACACACACACACACCACAAAGGTTGGCATAAAGGAAATGGAAAAACTAGTAAAGTACAATAGGAATGAATATTTTTCATAACTTTCTATGGCACTGAACAATGACTAAAGGTAATGTAGAGTAATACATATACATGAGTATGTGTTTATGTCTCTATGTATTTTTATCAGAAAACAAAAATTCTATCAGTTCATTCAGAATTCATCTCTCCAGCCCTAAAGGTACACCCAGGAATAAGGATGTAATTTGCATGCTTTACATGGTTTTATTTATTAGAAGAATAGAAATTTCCAAGATCAGGCAAGGCAATTGTAGAGGAGATCAGAACCCAGGGAGACTTCTGGATTTATCCGATAATGATTTTTTAGTGCTATGTGTTTACTTCTAATTATTTTAATTTTGAAATTTCAAATGATCTGATCATACTTTTTTAAGTTTATGAATAAAAAGGCCATTGGCTTGCTCACAATAATTTGATATGGTTTAAGCACTATTCCAATTGTAGCTTTTCAAATTTGGTTTCTTAAAACATACAAAACTGCCTCTAGTAACCAAGTCAAAGTCTGTATTTCTGAAAAGAATAAAAGGAGATAACAAAATCAAGGTACTGTAAATCAACTCTCAATATAACTTTAAAATTGTTCCATTTGTTTTACCAAACAAAAGCTTATTCTTTCTAAATCTGATAACTAGTGTATTTTGAAGTAGGGAACAAATTTGATACCATGATCAGGGAGGTTGCAAGCAGTAAATTATCTACTGGAACTTAAGAGAGGAAACCTAGCTGGCACAACTATCAAAGAAGGTGAACTGAGGGATTTTCTTCACAATTTACCAGGTTTTTTTCTTCTTTCATTTCTGGAACATATTCCTCTGACCTTTGTTTTTTCTAACTTCATCATATTCTGGCCTTGTCCCACCTGACCCCATAAAAATGTTGGCAGAGAAAGAAAACTCAGCTGGGTGATGTAGTTGCTTTTGATAGATGGATCACTTGACGGCTTGCTGGAAAATACCTCTATCTGGGCCTGTGAGCTCCTCAAGAGTACAAGGGAAGCAATGTGTAGCTGCTTTACAGCCGCAGGGAGATGGATAATTTAGCCTAGCAAATGGTTCCTCTTCTCCAATTCAGGATATAAAGGACCACGCCTGGGATTATTTAAACCTAACTGATTGCTCAAACTCTGCTTTGTCATTTTCATCACAAAGAGGTCCCTTCACCCTACCTTTTAGAAATTCTTGGGAGTGGCTTTAGAAATGTATCTGTTATTGGCTTGATTATTTATCAAACAGCAGTGTAAGAAAAGCTATTTAGGAAAATCCATGGAAGGTCACTTTTGTAAACAATAAATTATTGATGGAATGACTAGTAACCATAGTCATAATGAAAAATGACACGATCTCAAATGCCCCACTTGTTTCACCAAACAAAAGCTTCTTCTTTCTAAATTTGATAGCCAGTACTTTTTGAAGTAGGGAACAATAATTTGTGATAGCTGGTACTTTTTGAAGGAGGGAACAATAATTTGGTACTATAAACAGGAAGGTTTAAAATAGTAAATTATCTACTGGAAGTTAAAAGAGAAAACCTAGCTGGGCACAACTATAGAGGGTGAACTGAAGGATTTTCTTCACAATTTACTAGGCTTTTTTCCTACTCTTAGGTGATATAAATTAAGACTCCAAGGCTACCCTTTGGGATTGAAATGAAGGAATAAAAATTTTTAATATACACGGAGGTTATAAAGACTAGTGGGCAACTACTGCTCAGAGACATCCCCTATCTCTTATATTCCGAGTAGATTAAAACATCCCTCAGTTTCTTTTGCCTAAAGGAAATAATTTTTCACGACACAGGAGATTCACTCAGCTCTTGGAAGACACAGCCCCTGCTTCCTCTTCTTCCCATTATAGGTACTGAAATCCCAGTATTATTCTCTAGGACCCCCTTTTGTAGTTCCCACCTCCAGAGCGACAAAGTATCATTGTTTTTTCTTTCAAATATTCCCAAATGCTTGGTCCCTGGAAGTTTCTTCTTTTAACAAAACTCAATTATCTACTAAAACAAAAACGAAGTGGTAAAAGCACATACTCTGGAGCCAAGTTGCTGTTAGTTGAGTAACGTTGGAGAAGATTTTTAAACTCTGTGCCTCATTCCCTCTATGGATTGGGGATACCGGTGTTTAATGGATCATTGTGAAGATTAAGTATACATGTCAAGTGCTTAGGATCACTACTGACACATAGTGAGGTCTGTATAAATATTTCATATTATCACATTTTTGCCTTTGTACTTTTTTTCTTACTTTGTCCACTTTTATTACTTGGAGGGCTCCCCACTACATGAATCCAGTCTTCTGTGTTCTTTCATATTCTAATTTGTTGAATGGGAGAAAGAATGAGATCCTCTTAAGAGAAAACTAAGTATAGCAGAATCTCCTTTTGAGGTATTGTTTGACCTGTATCTTGTAACTCCTTCCTCCTGGAACCAGTCAGCAGATGATAAGAAGGAATCACAAGGAAGTTCTTCCCAGCTGGGCTCTGCACCAGATAATGACTGACAGCTCATTAAGTTAGAGCTAATCTTTGGAAGTCTGCATAATGTATTTAGGGCCAGTCTTTCAAAGATAACAAAGGCACTAGTATTAAAACATGTAAATTTCCAGTTTCCAACGGATGGGCAAATAGGTTGTTTCCAAGATTTAGCTATTACAAACTGTGCCGCTATAAACATGGGTGCACATACTTCTCTGTGATATGATTCTTTTAGTTCTCTTGGAAAATTTACTTTATTTCTTCACATTTGTCTGCAAGTCTGTTTATCCTCTCTTAGCCATTTCCTTCTTTACTTACAGAGATTGTGAAGTTGATGGATTCCAGTCTGGGCCTCACTTTCTGTGGGCCCTTGACTAAAATGTTTAAACAGTTAGAGATGGTATATCCTAATTCTTAAATTGGGGTAAGTACCAATTTACTCTTGCATAAAGTTTTTGTGAAAATAATTTGATTCAGCATGTTAAGGTTATATTATCTATCAGGCACAGTGGTAGGTGCTAGAGAGATAGAATCCTTCCTGGGTGGGTTTACACATTCATAATTCCAGTGTGATATTGTCTGGGAAATTCTTAACTTATCATCACCTCCTAACATATAGTAGCTACTACTATTACTTTTCTACAAAAATATTTTTCTTGTCCTTTAATGTAAAAAGAACTAAAAGCAGATTCTTCTCCAAATGTGTGTCATTGTGAATCCCAGAAACAACAACACATAATTTTGTAATGGATATGTCTAACTTTTTCTTTTTTCTTTTCCTGGTAGTTTTGTTTCTTGTCCTTTTCATAGGTATTTGAATCTAATCATTGATACACTTCTTCATTTGGGACTATTTGCTCTTTGCTCAGGCATTTCTTTGACATATGAGAAATATATATAT